CTTTGCAAAGAAAGGTCGTGTGCAGCTGGAAGATGCCTCGTTTTAATCAGAAATTTATGGACTACAATTACGCCTCATTAAGAAAGCTTTTGGTTATTGTTTAGAGTTTCTCGAAAACTGGTTTTCCAGAAGACCGGTCTTTGAAGGCCTAGCAGCAGCATTCATGGTGATATTCGGAATCAGCATCCACTCGGCTTCGTTGAAAAAGCGATTTATCAGTTGGGGTACTTCCCTTGTTAGTCGTACTAGCTATCCGAAACACTTTTTAAAGTTTAAAACTTTTAGCTATCATAATAGTTGAAAAAATTAAACATAAATTATTTGTATAATTCTGGCCAGTACACGAATCGTATTTTTAAATTCTAAATGAAATGTTTATAACTTTTGAGCGAAGTTCTTGTAGAAAATATTTTGTTCTATTTGCCTATGTAATGTTCATTTCAAAATATAAGAGACTTCAATTCAATTCAGATAACTTGTGATTGAAAAGAGCTAAAGACACACGGGTTTTTGTTCGAATGTGAAATGTTGGGCTATTGATTTATAGAGTAGTAGTTTTGTTTTTATTTCCCATAAAGCGATAGCCCCAACACTTCTCGTTCGAATGAAAAAACACGCGTGTCTTAAGCTTTATTCTATCACAAATTATCTAAAAAGTTATGAATTCTCTTATATTATGAAATGGATAGTAGATGAAAAAATTGACAAAAATTTTAGAAAATTCATAATTCTTTGACTGAAATATGTTTTAGAGTCGAGATGACTCACGTGTAATAGAGAATATTTGACATGTTAAACTTAAATTTCAATTTCTTTAATTGTGAAGTTCAGAATGGTAAGGAATGTTCTTGATATATCTGTTACTCCCGAGAATAGTTGATCAAGCTAGGATCGATAAATAAAAATTGTCTACAAAGTATCTCAATAGAATAATTAAATTTATCTACTTAGTCAGGTGATTTATTCGTTTATTTAGGGGTTGACGGTTTAAAACAGTTAACATTCGACCAAGCTTTACCTGAACATATTCAAAAATGGGTGATATCTACACCACTCATACAAAAACCACCTGATATCGAACTCAAAGAAGTTATTATCGAAGAAGAATCAGTGAATGAGTCAGAAGTTATTGATCCAGAATTAGTTCAAAAATTAATCAACGAACCATTGAGAAAAGCGCCAAGATCAAAGCCAAAAGAACCAATGGAAAATGAAAAGAAAAGTCAATTGACAAGTTTTCCATTAAGAAAAAATCCAAGTAATGATGATACTCAACAAAAAAAACAAAAAGCTAAAGATGAAGATGCTGGTACAAATACACCTCACTGTTTTGATAAAATATATTTGGAGAAGAATGTTGAACAGAGATTTTCTCATATAAATGAAAACAATGAAATATCGTTGGATAATCAACCGATACAACAGGTAGACAATACTAAACCATATCCGACGATAACAGAACAAAATTACAGCGAAAATAAAATAATAACCATGGTCAACAGTGAACATGACCAGACCTTCAATAAGGAACAATGTAAGTTAAGATTTTTTTTTGATTATGCTACTGTGTTAATAAGACGGAGAACAGTTTCTCATGCATCAGTGAAGGGTGAACGTTCGTCTCATTTTAATCTAACAGATGACATAGAATAAATGACTCTCTCCATATTTTTGAATAGTATTTTTTATCTTTCACGATCTAATTCTTTTCTCTTAATCTTCTTTCAAATAAATTCTCAGTCAATTCACTACACAATCGTGCTAAACATTATCGTTATATCCAATGATGATGATGATAGATAGACTAAGAAGTCGATGCTACGAAATAAGAATAACTTTCTGACTCAAAAAAAATGTATTTTATTAAAGTATTGTTTTTACAAGTACGTAACTATGCACTACGATGAATTCAAGTACTTTCAAGTGTCATCTTTCTACTGCTGGGTACTTCCATGTAGCTCTGCCCACTTTTATAAAACTTAAAAGCCGGCAAGCTTTCACTATGCGGATTTATAGCCTGTGTCGAGTTGTGTAAGAATCCACCTTTGCTCCCGACTTAAGTCATTTGATAAGGTTGACTGAGGAATCACTCGGGGTGAAATTGGTAATTTTTGCCTATTTTCGATTGCTCTCTGCACTTTTCTGAGCGTTCAGAGTGTGACTAATTCGCTTTAAACCAATTTTTCCAGCACGAAAGCCGACTTTATTAAAATCGATTGAAAAACAGAGAATTTTAACTATACGGACCTTGCGCAGCAGAAGAAAAGGACTTAGTAGTGAGCTTTTGCTTCATGATTTTGAAAGAGCTGACACTGGGCTTCAAAATAGAGCAAAAACGACTAGCAACAACTCACAGTGGGCATTTTTTGCTAGAGCAGGCGGACTTTAGCTTTATGAGTGAACTAAAATTTCATGAACCATTTTTTTATAGGTTTTTCATGATCCTCTTTCTAATGGCATGAGAGTTGGGCTTTGAA